TTTATATCAAAAATGATCTAACATTGGTTGAATAAAATTTTGGAGCACAGGTTCTAAATGCCCATTAACCCCACATATGTTTTTTCTTTAATTACTCAATTTTTTGTTAAATTCTGGTGTCATGTTATGATTTTGAAAGTACATGTACTCATTAGCCATATTGCTAAACTATCATTTAAACTTCTTTGCTTTTTGGTAATTTGTGATTAAGGTATTTTGTATGGAAGTTTCTAAGGCTTCTAAGACCGGAAAAAAATAACTTCTGTTTATTTGCTTTCCTGACTTTACATTGATTTTAATAAAAAAATTTGGTCGTATTTTAGCAGCTGATTCACCTAACCAGCTCTTCAAGAATAACTAACTATTAATTACCACTTTCTCCACATGTGACCAACAACTTTTCCCACATGATTACTCAATCACCCATGAGAGACAAAATGACCTTTAGCTCAATGTTCAAGGTCAGTTGTCAAGGAGAAATCTCGCCTCCAACAAACATTGTAACCTCTGACTGATGCTTTCCTAGTTGAGCTAAGTTTGGGAACAAATATTGCAACTAATCAATCAACAACACAAAACAAAAAACAAAAATGTTTTCTCTTGCTTGCATTGTAAAATCAACATTTCAGTAAATCTTGTACATTGTATTTGTACAGTATATGTGGAATTCAGACATTTTCTTAAAGATCCTGTAACTCATTTATTTTTTTATGGTTTTATATCATAAATATAATGCTAAAATGAAAATTTATCAATTTTGTAAGTTCCAAAAAAGCATTATTTGTAAAGATATTATCGAATTTACATTTCATGTTAATAAAGGGAGGTAATTAGAAATTTATTTTAGTCAAACTTTTCAATAAGAAATGAATGCATATATTTTAATGATTACATATGATGTGGATAAACATTTGCAGTACATATTTTACATATTCTTGGTGTTTGAAAATTGTTTTAGAAGCATAATTATATACATATATAAAATTTCACTTAAATCTGGTAATATAACAAGGAACCTTAATTACAGCATACAGGATCTTTAATTAAAATAATTATTTACATTCTACTTTACAAAGTGATTATTGTTATGCCCCCATTTTGAAAAAAAGGGGGTATATTGCTTTGCACTTGTCGGTCCGTCGGTCCGTCGGTCCGTAGACCAAATGGTTTCCGAGTGATAACTAAAGAACCCTTAGGCCTAGGAACTTCAAACTTGGTATGGTGATTGGTCATGACCAGTAGATGACCCCTATTGATTTTGGGGTCAAGGGGTCAAAGGTCAAGGTCACATTGACCTTGAAAGCAAAAACGGTTTCCGATCAATAACTAAAGAACCTTAAGGCCTAGGAACTTCAAACTTGGTATGGTGATTGGTCATGACCAGTAGATGACCCCTATTGATTTTGGGGTCAAGGGGTCAAAGGTCAAGGTCACAATTGACCTTGAAAGCAAAAACGGTTTCCGATCAATAACTAAAGAACCTTAAGGCCTAGGAACTTCAAACTTGGTATGGTGATTGGTCATGACCAGTAGATGACCCCTATTGATTTTGGAGTCAAGGGGTCAAAGGTCAAGGTCACATTGACCTTGAAAGCAAAAACAGTTTCCGATCAATAACTAAAGAACCTTAAGGCCTAGGAACTTCAAACTTGGTATAGTGATTGGTCATGACCAATAGATGACCCCTATTGATTTTGGGGTCAAGGGGTCAAAGGTCAAGGTCACATTGACCTTAAAAGCAAAAACGGTTTCCAATCAATAACTAAAGAACCTTAAGGCCTAGGAACTTCAAACTTGGTATGGTCATTGGTCATGATCAGTAGATGACCCCTATTGATTTTGGGGTCAAGGGGTCAAAGGTCAAGGTCACATTGACCTTGAAAGCAAAAACGGTTTCCGATCAATAACTAAAGAACCTTAAGGCCTAGGAACTTCAAACTTGGTATGGTGATTGGTCATGACCAGTAGATGACCCCTATTGATTTTGGAGTCAAGGGGTCAAAGGTCAAGGTCACATTGACCTTGAAAGCAAAAACAGTTTCCGATCAATAACTAAAGAACCTTAAGGCCTAGGAACTTCAAACTTGGTATGGTGATTGGTCATGACCAGTAGATGACCCCTATTGATTTTGGGGTCAAGGGGTCAAAGGTCAAGGTCACATTGACCTTAAAAGCAAAAACGGTTTCCGATCAATAACTAAAGAACCTTAAGGCCTAGGAACTTCAAACTTGGTATGGTGATTGGTCATGATCAGTAGATGACCCCTATTGATTTTGGGGTCAAGGGGTCAAAGGTCAAGGTCACATTGACCTTGTAAGCAAAAACGGTTTCTGATCAATAACTAAAGAACGCTTAAGGCCTAGGAACTTCAAACTTGGCATGGTGATTGGTCATGACCAGCAGATGACCCCTATTGATTTTGGGGTCAAGGGGTCAAAGGTCAAGGTCACATTGACCTTGTAAGCAAAAACGGTTTCTGATCAATAACTAAAGAACCTTAAGGCCTAGGAACTTCAAACTTGGTATGGTGATTGGTCATGATCAGTAAATGACCCCTATTGATTTTGGGGTCAAGGGGTCAAAGGTCAAGGTCACATTGACCTTGTAGGTAAAAATGGTTTCCGATCAATTTACTAAAAACGCTTAGGCCTAGGAACTTCAAACTTTGTGTGATGATTGGTCATGACCAGCAGATGACCCCTATTGAGTTTTAGGTGAAGGGGTCAAAGGTCAAGGTCACATTGACCTTTTAAGTAAAAACGGTTTCTGATCAATAACTCAAGAACGCTTAGGCCTAGGAACTTCAAACTTGGTATGGTGATTTGTCATGACCAGCAGATTACTCCTATTGATTTTGGGATCAAGGGGTCAAAGGTCAAGGTCACAATGACCTTGTAAGTAAAAACAGTTTCTGATCAATAACTAAAGAACGCTTCGGCCTAGAAACTTCAAACTTGGCATGGTGATTGGTCATGACCAGCAGATGACCCCTATTGATTTTGGGGTCAAAGGTCAAGGTCACATTGACCTTGTATGTTAAAACGGTTTCCGATCAATAATAAGAGAACCCTTAGGCCTAAGAACTTCAAACTTGGCATGGTGATTGGTCATGACCAGCAGATGACCCCTATTGATTTTGGGGTCAAGGGGTCAAAGGTCAAGGTCACATTGACCTTATAGGTAAAAACGGTTTCTGATCAATTTACTAAAAACGCCTAGGCCTAGGAACTTCAAACTTTGTATGATGATTGGTCCTGACCAGCAGATGACCCCTATTGAGTTTTGGGTCAAGGGGTCAAAGGTCAAGGTCATGACCAGTAGATACTTTATAACCCTTATTAATTGTTTGATCACTAGGTCAGAAGTCATGCATAATAACCTTATCACATGACTAATTGGCTGCTGATAGGGGGCATACATGTTTTACAAACATATCTTGTTTGTTAATGACAAGGAAATGAACAAGGAAACAAACAAAAATAAATTACATTATAAAATTTCCACATTAAGCCTATTCTCATATTTTACAAATCAAAACATAATTTCCCTCACCATTTTCTATGATAGTACTTTTTGTGAAAATTAGAGTTAAAATTATAAAAACAATAAACATAACCCTGGGATATAAGAAAGTTCCTCATATTTTACCAATAACAAATTTTTAACTCAGACTTATCAAAAACCATGTGCAATTTGGCAAATAAAATCAAAATTTTACTGTATTATATAGATATATACTCATAAAAGCATACAAAACAAGGTATTTGGTAAAAAGAAGGTTAATGCAAATGCATATGATATCAAATATAGGTCGCTAGGGCTCTGCTAAATTAATCTGCCTAATCTTTCAAGAATATTTGGTTTCAAAGACAGTGATGCCCTTAGTTTAGAAGGTGATAGTTTTAACTCTATGAAATTTTGGACAACAAAGTTGTGAATCTGGAACCAAAAGCACAGGTAGGTTAAACTATATGCAGCCAAGTCAATCTAGATGCAAAGAGACAGTCTAAACTGGTGGAGATTTTAATGCTAGTTCTGAAAGTTAGCCATAATTATAACCTTCTGGTTTATTCAACACTTTGACTATTATCTTCACAGTATATAAATGAAATCATTGTACCCTGTCTTGCGGGCCTCTACAATTCCTGAATATGTACCCTGTCTAAGTGCCAGTACAAGCACATGTTACTTCCGATCACTGTACCCTTCTTGGGAGCCTATATATTTTAACTTGTATCTTTCATGCGGGTACAGGAAGTAGACTGGTTTATATACTGTGATCTTGTTCTATATCTCAGACAGGCTATAGGTCCAAATATATCCACCAGCAACTTAATTATAGCTTACATTTATTACAGGGGTGTCATTAAGACCTGAACTAGCTGAAAACAAAATCCTAAGCAAAATGTCATACGCCACTATTTGGTTATATTATTTTACATTATTTCTCTCTTTCACTGTACTTATATAGTTATATGTTTAAACTTCAAGCAATTACCCAGCTTATTTTCAACATAAGGAAACCCTTATATAAATGATTACATCAGTCTGTTCTTGTAAAAAAATTACTTTCTTAGAGCGACCTCCAGCTTTTATTTTCTGTTAGAAAAACAATTATGTGTTGTTTCAAACAAAGTATTTCAGTAATTTTATCTTGGAAAAGTGCATCTTATCACTGTTAAGCCTTCTTCAAGACAGCGTTCTGAGGGCTATTTATAATGCATAAGTGACATTCTGTTCTAAAAATAGAAGATAAGGAAACAAATAGTCCACTTTGCTAATTTAAATATAGAGAGCAGACCGGTAGATAAGAGAGATGGAGGTGTTTCCTTATTGTTTAAGTATTTTATCGTCAGTAAATTTCATTTTCCACCTTTATTCTTTTGACTTGACAATTATATGAAACGATTTATCAAAAAATATCATATTTAACCTTTAGAAAAGCTGAAGACCGCTTTAAAACACCTTCACCAATAATTGTATTAACATACATTTTTACCTTTTCCTAAAAATTCTATATGATCATCATCATCCGCATTATCATTATCAAGTTCTGGGTCGTAAAAATCGTGTTCCTCTGTGTCAAGTGTGTAATAACGATTGTCACCCGATGCTACACGACTGTTATATGATCGTAATGGCTGAATGGCTTCCTTGTCAACAAGGTCTAATGGCTGCCAGTCGGAATGTTTTGGCTTCATTCTAATTAAAAAAGATGAAATGTTGAAATTTAAGGTCACTTTTTGAAAGATACATTTTATGTAACTTTGATAAATGACTTGGCTTGCCTGACTTTGTTGCCTTTTTAAATAAAGTCTATAATATTATTATAAATATCATTATTATTATTATAATTGTATACTGCATATGTCTGAAAATATATTGCTACAGAAGGCACTGCAATAGTTCAACAATATGAAGCTATATGCCTGTTTTAGAAATTACATGTACTACCTACATATAATTTAAACCAGAGAATTTTCTGAAGTTGCAGCAAAATTTTAGACCAATTATTTCAATCCTTGACGTTTTTAAACAAACTTAAAGTGTTTTTTTTTTTTGCAAAAGCCAACCACTGCAGTAAGACACTAACCAATATTCTATGTGCTTAAATATTTGATTTTTAAATACTTATAGATAAAGGGAAGTAACTTATGATACTATGAAAGTTTTTCCCCAGTCTTTTGAGCATGGGTTTGGGAGTCCTTTACAAATTAGCAGTGTTATGCCATTATTGAGCTATTGAATAGAGAAAAAAAATTAAATTATGACAAACACAGAAAAAAAATAAATTATGACAAACACCTAATTAGATAAAGTTTAATAGTTTGATGACTCTGTTTCTCATGTTTTTACGTTATTGACCAATTTTTTAAATTGACTGCAATTTGAATTTGTAAATTTTCATTAAATAATTGTGAAAAGAAAGTATTTAGACCCAAAAGCTCCTTCAAAAAATAATTATATAATAATACAGTGTTTTTTTTCACCAAAATATTCGGCGAAATTCTCCCTATTCCCCCCTCAAAATAGTATGTTTTAATGTATAATGGGAAAAATATTTGGTACATTTGACATGTACAATATACAACACCTACTTCATGCTCTTTTGGCATAGTATTTTAAATTGTGCAAAATTGTTTATTCCAACCAATGCAAATATATCATTCATATTAAAATTTGACAATGAAATGTGTGGAAACATCTGTCTGATTCCATACTGGTTTGAATTCCAACAAATTTGTCAGTTTTAATATCGAAAATTTCAGTTCAGGGATTTTTTTAAAGAATGGAAAAAATAAGCATTGGAAATGGGTCTGGTAATCTGACCCGTGGTGACACTGGGAAAAGGCTGGAGTCCTATCATGTCAAAATGCCATAAATCTGTAAATTATGGTTTAGGGTGATGGGTTATCGGTTAGGCCCTAAGGTTAGCACTAACCAATATTCTATGTGCTTAAATATTTGATTTTTAAATACTTATAGATAAAGGGAAGTAACTTATGATACTATGAAAGTTTTTCCCCAGTCTTTTGAGCATGGGTTTGGGAGTCCTTTACAAATTAGCAGTGTTATGCCATTATTGAGCTATTGAATAGAGAAAAAAAATTAAATTATGACAAACACAGAAAAAAAAATAAATTATGACAAACACCTAATTAGATAAAGTTTAATAGTTTGATGACTCTGTTTCTCATTTTTACGTTATTGACCAATTTTTTAAATTGACTGCAATTTGAATTTGTAAATTTCATTAAATAATTGTGAAAAGAAAGTATTTAGACCCAAAAGCTCCTTCAAAAAATAATTATATAATAATACAGTGTTTTTTTCACCAAAATATTCGGCGAAATTCTCCCTATTCCCCCCTCAAAATAGTATGTTTTAATGTATAATGGAAAAATATTTGGTACATTTGACATGTACAATATACAACACCTACTTCATGCTCTTTTTGGCATAGTATTTTAAATTGTGCAAAATTGTTTATTCCAACCAATGCAAATATATCATTCATATTAAAATTTGACAATGAAATGTGTGGAAACATCTGTCTGATTCCATACTGGTTTGAATTCCAACAAATTTGTCAGTTTTAATATCGAAAATTTCAGTTCAGGGATTTTTTTAAAGAATGGAAAAAATAAGCATTGGAAATGGGTCTGGTAATCTGACCCGTGGTGACACTGGGAAAAGGCTGGAGTCCTATCATGTCAAAATGCCATAAATCTGTAAATTATGGTTTAGGGTGATGGGTTATCGGTTAGGCCCTAAGGTTAGAAATTTAAAAAATGGATTTAACTGCGGACAAGTCCATCAATGATAAATGTTAATTGTTCGTCCTACGATAAATTTACCATTCCAATAGCGTTTTGTGCAAATGGCGTTTTCCGATGAAAGGGAGGTAATTAAAATGTATCTAAAGAATGCTAAATTCTGTATTCCAGGCCCATATCCGGATAGTTGCTGCTGTCTGCTATTTTTTTATCTTGGCCATGGTTTTACTTTGATTTACTCTGTTTCACTTCACTTTGTTTTTAATCTTTTGTTATATTCTTGGTTTCTCACATTCCCAGTTGGCAATTCAGATATTAAATAAAACTTTTATTGTTGTTGTTGTTGTTGTTGTTTATGGTTGTATGGTAAAAATAACACCATAAACATATCTATATCAATACGCCAAAACGCTGACAATCCAGTTCAAAACAATCTTCTCGGGGCCGACCAAGCTACGCGCTTACTTATCCTTGCTTTTCCTTGTTTGTTTTTGTTTTTAATTTTGTAAAAAAAAAACAACAAAGATGCCTGAGTTAGCTTCATCTATCTTCTTAATAAAACACATGAAGAACTATTGGCCTAAAATCGTCGGAAGATAATGTTTAAAGTAATCTTTTTGAACACCAATTTATATTATATTATAATACAAGTTTTATTAATACGAACTGGGACAGAAAGATACATTATTAGTCCCAGATACGAAACAAAATAGTAACGTGCAAAAGAATGTCATACCTGTTTAAATCCGTTAATATGTGTACACGTTCGGAGCGTTTGTTTTGAGTCACATATTCGGACAAATTATTTTGTATATGGTGGAAACATTTTTGTCATTAAGAGCCGTTTTGGACATTTAGACGTATTGATTGCATGTACGAGATATACGGAAAGGCAACAGCTTTCACGGTGACAGCTGTTTGCGCCAGGAACGTTTAAAAGCAACAGACATTAACGCGAAATACAATGAAACTATAAAATGTGAAAAATGATTGATTCACCTATAAAATAAAACAATGTGATTCTTTGTAATAAAAGTCTAAAATATCAATCATTTATTCTTGTTCTCCGCCAATTGTTTTCTCGTGTAGGGTATGGTATGTTAGAGGGTATCAAATGCTAAGTACTGTTCTAACAAGTGTCATATTAAAGGCTCCGTAGTTCAAGCCGATAAAACACATCTGGGGATGTTTCGCAATTTTAATAAATGAATAACCATTTTCATGTTTAAATGTTGAATTTTCCCTTCAGACGATGCTGGGCATGGCGGATAGCATTCGTTTACCACTGCGGCTTATGAATAGACTCAAACTGAACTTGCACCTTTTTCAACTTGGCCGTGTTTTTAAGGTTTCTATTTTAACTATTCTATAGTTTTGATACTGATAATGTCAATCAATTGAAATACTAAGCTAGATTTGTTTGAAAAATAGACAAGCAACAATCATTGTTTGATGTGTACACGGACTTTAATTTAAAAAGTACAGGGATTTAAATATTAATAGGCCAGTGTTTTTTTTTAACTTTAGAAACATATACATGTAGTAAGCAGTTAATTGATTAAGAGAGACATGGGTAGCACCCGCTAATAAACATATACTTAGTAAATGCCAATAAAAAGTCATTTTGAGGCCACATGGTAAAGTTCGTCATATATACGCATTATTGAGTAGATTTTGTAGTATTTAGTTAATAATTATGCTCATGCAATATGAAATAATTCTTTGCAAATCAACCGTCATCACATGTCCTCCTACAAATCATAAATTTGATCCAGGTGTAGTACTACTTCACAAAAAAGAGCAGTCCTATCCACATAGTAGATTCTAACGAAAACTTTCAGGAATGATCATTGGTTCCTAAGTTACAAACAGAAAATGAATAAAAATGTTCCAAGTCTGTTGAAAGAGAGACCTAACAGAACTTACGAAACTAGTAGACAGTGATCTGGATGGCTTCTTCTCGTACGATGATGCTAGGCTTTGATGAAACTATATGACTTGTCAATTCAAGTTGTTTTCTTTAAAAAAAATCTCAGCTCCATTTGCATGCTACGGTTTCTATCTGAAATTACAGTCTAATCGCCCTTAGAGTTAGACCAACCTGCACATCCGTGCACATCCAAGCTAAATATTGATTGGTGACCATCTTACTAGCTTTCATCATGGTATCACTGAAATTGACCATGTACTGCATTGATACGGTATAAGAAATATTCAGCATTTGGCAAAGAGCTGACTCTGCTAAATGAGACAGTTACTCAAAAATTAAAACCTCGTTGAGTGTCAGGATACACATATCTTGATTTTAAGTATGCCCAATTATACCTCAGAAATCAGTATTCCTTAGAAATGTCAAAAATGAGTTTAATAATGTTTTAATAATGGATATAGTTAAACAACTGAAAAAAAGAAGAGCTGAACGTGAAGTAATGTGCTGTAAAGGTAGCATACCATACACTATACTAAATTACGATAATTATTCCAATTGCCAAAGTGCATAAGAAGCAAAGGATGGTTTCTTCATGATGGCTAATAAGTATGTGTTTGGAAACTGTAAATGAAACGTTTTTGAAAATAAAAATAATAGAACTTTGCGGGCTTAATGGGTCTTAATTTGACCTGGTCAACAAATTGACCAGGAAACAGACTTTGACCTAAATTCCCTTCGTGCATGGCTGACACTTAAAGATATTACCCAAATAGATTTACTCAAATCTATTTATTAAATCACACAAGTGTACTTTTAAGTGTTGTGTGAATATTTCATTTGAAATTTTCCTATAGATCTAATTTCGTAGAGGAAAATATCCCAAACCAAACTTTAAATCAATACAATTAAGAATTCTCTTGAACAATTGTCATGTACTTCGAAGATTTAAAGTTTCGTTGAAGTTTTGTTTAAGTGATAAGTAATACTTCTAATATGTGACCGCAAGGAAAGAAAAAAAAGAAAGAAAGTTATTAGTAATTTGTTTCAGATGTGTGTTTAAATTAACATTTAAGTATTTTTTCTACTAACATCATCATTATTTTTGTTGTTGTTGTTAAGTGATTCAACCTGAGAAGCTGGTTTAAGTAGAGAGTGTAACTTTTCTTTAAAAAAAAAAGACATAATTGTTACTTTCCTTAGAACATATTTTTAACAATTAACTTATTGTCAATTATTTTATAAATAGTGTATAAATTAAATGATGGATTTTTTTCTGAATCCCTCTATACACAGTTAGATTTTGTTTTCAGGCATTATTTCCGATGGATATGGAGTTTTTGTTGTATTTCAATAAATATAACGAATATAGCGCATTCGTAATAGTTTTATCTGGAGGTGAGCAAAACGTATTGCAAACAAATTTCCACTAGGTCGTCAAAGTAGTCTTTCAAACAAATTTGAAGCAATACCTGCGAAAAGCAGAATGGCTTTCAGGACTATCTGCACCTTAGAAAAAGCATTGCTAATCAGATAATGAAAAAGTATTCAAAATTTAAAGTAAATATCTTCGATACTTTTACCTTAACAAAAAGGTAAACAAAGAAATTCAAAATCAAAAATGGCATAACTGAGCAAAATAAATCAAGAGGTTATCTTCCAATTTGAATTGCATTTCAATTTTAAAATTGAAAAGGTTTTAAGTGATAAGCTTTGACAGTCTCTTAACATGAAAAATATAAAGGGACATAACTTTGCAAAAATGAATTTAATGATTAAATGCCCTTCTGGTATTACAAGTTTGAAGTAAATAATTTAGAAAGTTTCTGGGAAAATGAACCTTAACAAAAGATGAACCAGAGCAAAACAGTTGAAACAGTGGTAAAAGGGGCATAATTTTGCAACAAACCATGGCGTTCTTTTCTGATTATAAGCATGTTTACTAAGCTCAAAGGTCTATGCTTAATGAGGGTCCATCCGCCCGTGAGGGCACAAAAAGCAGCTTTCGCTGTTGAGTATGGATCCAAGTTATAAGCCAAAATAGGTCACTGTAGGACGGTAAATGAGAACCTAAATGTAAAATAATTTGAGACAATATGAAAAGGAGTTAGCACTTAAATGGCTGTTGGTGCCACGCAAACGGCCTGCCTTTTAAGCTAGCACACTTTCCATCAGGACACCGGCAGCTGGTTCGCAGGATACACGTTTCTTTTACGCCGTCCAAAATTCTTCAAATCTTCTGCCGATGCCTTGTGTATTCTCTGGGAGGTGCACACTCTGATTGGAAGAGAGAAGTATAAGTTTAAAGGGATTTCATTTGTTTACTGTCCTAGAAAATTACCTTAACGAAAAGGTCAACGCAAATGTCTACAGTATCATTGACATTATTTTTTAAATAATCACATATGATATATTGTAAATACATGTAGAAATAAAAGGATAATACATGTAAATTCTGAAATTATAAATATTATATCAATTGAACACATCAACTTATTATACATCATAACCCGAGGGTACCAGATAAGTTCTTATATGTTGGTGTGTTTTTCGATATTAGTAAACTTACAGGAAAGTGAATGTATTGGTAATCTCGTTATCTTGAACAATATTCATAATTTAATAAGTTATTGTTATCCAATAAACTTAGAAAGTTCTTATGTAAATTAAACTGTTCACCAGAAAATGTAATGAGATCTAAACTCAGTGTATCTGTTTTATGGGAGGAAGTGTGGTTTTATCTAGAAAGATAAAGAACTATCCTGTACATTTTATTTTAGAACTATCCTTTACATTTTATTTTATAATGGCAAGAAATATCCTATACGAACTATCCTTATACATTCTATTTTAGAATGGCAAGAACTGTCCTTCACATTTTACTCTAGAATGGCCGATGAGATTCCTAGATTTCAATTTGTAAATTAAAATGACCAATGAAAATTCTTCTTATGCCGGCTCGCCACGGCGAGCCGGTATTACGGTAGGATTTTACTGAGAAACAACCTAAAACTCCGAAGCTATCCAAAAATTAAATCGAAGCTTGGCTTCCAGCTTTCTACAAAATTTATCTATCAGGGCTAGGATCCAAAATTATTTAGCCAATCAAATTAAATCTTACATAGCGTCAAAAAACCTTCAATTTTCACGCCATTTTTAAAAATCAGCAAGTATTGTTTTGAGCGCAAAGATATAATGATGATTAAAATGTTTGTCTTTATGAATTCTTTTCAATAAATCATATTTACACTGACTTCTAATTTAGCGATTTCACCTGTTTTCTCTGTAGTAAGTTTTCGTTTGGTTAATTAACATAAGTGTACATCTGGTTCTGTGCATTTTTTATTTTTCCCTTTTTCCGGTCATTTTATCCTTTCCGGTATTTAGTGTATGTATTTACTGGCCGGGATCCGGGACGCCCGGGATCCGGGATCGTATAAGATATGGAGGAAAAACCTAATGAACTATATTTGTGTTGATTGTTGTCGTAATGAAAGGCCATTAAACGTTAATTTTTTATTGTATATAATGAACGTTAAATTAATTTAACTTATAATATAGATATATTTAGAGCTATTTATTAACAAACTTAAAATGCGGAAATCACAATACTTATAATTATATGCCAAATTAATTGGAAAAATCAAAGACTATTTTCTTGAATTGGTCAAATCCCGGATCCCTATATGTTTTTAAAACGATCCCAGCTTTTTCTGAAAACTATATACTTGAACTGGCCAATCCGTGAGATCTATTTACATTTTAATACGATCCCGGCTTTTCTGAAAACTATATTCTTGAACTGGGCAATTCCCGGGATCCCTATATGTTTTAATAGGATCCCGG